ACTATTACAACAATACGACGATGGAAAGTGGAGACCAGTGTCTTATCGATCCAAGACAATGACCCCCGCAGAGTGCAACTACAATGTTGCAAACAAAGAACTATTAGCAATAGTTCAAGCATCAAAAGAATGGAGAAGATACGTTTCGAACAACGACCATCCAGTGCGAGTTCTAACCGACCACAAGAACCTGGTACCGTTCATGACTATAAAAGAACTAAACGACCGCCAGATAAGATGGATGGAACACCTCAGCAAATACAACTTCAAAATCGAATACTGACCAGGCCAAGAAAGTGGAAAGCCAGATGCTCTCACCAGGATTGCAAGCGACAAACCACAAACGAAAGAAGACGAAAGAATCAAACAAAAAACACGAACACTATTACCAAAAACCTACTTTGAGGCAATGGAGGTTATCCAATTCACATCAACGGAGGAAAGAGGAATAAAGAACGCAAACGAGAAATACAAAACAATTGAGACAATAAGAGAAGCCCTGGAGAAAGGAAAAAAAGAGATGAAAGGAATTGCTCTAGGTTTATGCCAATGGAAGGACAGAAATATGTGGTACGATGGAAAACAATGGATCCTAGAAGAAGAGGAGATAAGGACAAATATTATACGACAACACCACGATATCCAAATGGCAAGACACGGAGGAACGGCTAAAACCATGGAATTCATTACGAGGTCATTCTATTGGCCAGGACTGCGCGAAGACATCAAACAATATGTCAAAAACTGCGACATATGCCAAAGAACAAAAACGGCTAAACACGCACCATATGCATTACTAAAATCAAACGAAGTTCCCGAACAACCATGGGAAACAATTACTATGGATTTCATTACAGACCTACCAGCATCGGAAAATTGCGATAGCATCCTGGTCGTGGTGGATCGTTGGACCAAAATGAGCCATTTCATTCCGGTTAGAAAAGATATCAACACGAGGGATTTTATACAAACCTTCTTCAGAGAGGTCTTCCAACTTCATGGCCTACCCAAGAATATCATCACTGATAGAGGAACACTATTCACATCGGGACTATGGAAAAAAGTAACTGGAGAAATGGGAATATAAAACAGAATGAGCACAGCATTCTACCCACAAACAGATGGACAAACAGAACGAGTAAATGCAATACTCGAACAATATTTAAGGACTTACATCAACTATCAACAAGATGATTGGTACAAGCTGTTATCAATGGCTGAATTAACATACAACAACGGAAAGCAAGAAGCGATCGGCACAACACCATTCTTCACGAATTACGGACAACATCCACAAAGTCAGACCACATATCATACGATTAATGATGTGGTACCGGAGAAAGCGGCTATGGGAAAACTACAGGAAACATTACAATACGAGATGAGTTAAGCACAACAACGGCAAAAAGAACAATATGATAAGCACCGAAGACCGGATCCGAACATACAACCGGGAGACATGGTATGGCTAATACCACGCAATATCCATATGACATGACAATCAAAGAAACTGGACTACAAGAAAATCGGACCCTTCAGAATATTGGAAAAAGTGAGCAGCCGAGCTTATAAACTTGACCTTCCCCCCTCAATGCAAATACACAATACCTTCCACATCTCACTCCTCGAATTACACAACGACAATAAGTTTCCTTCCCAAATACTTATTTCTCCCCCTCCGATCGAACTCGATAGAGAACCAGAATATGAGATCGACGAAATAATCGATTCCCGCTTCTTCCATGGTCACCTCCAATACTGAGCCAAGTGGACAGGATATTCTCCTGAACACGATAAAACTTAGTACTTCGCACACAACTTCGAAAACGCACAAGATGCCATCTCAACCTTCCACCAGCGATACCCAGGCAAGCCCGGCCCAGGTGACGATCACGTTCAACCAAGACAAAGGCGAGGGAAAGACTCCTGCGCCATTGCAGCCACAAGAGGGCTGGGGCGATAGCCCACACCAAACTACACCCACCAGCCCCAAATACTCATTCATGGAGCCAACCAACGAAGAACTCAAGGAAAGGGAAAAACAAGCACAGCATAACGCCATGTCATGGACGGTATGCTACCATGACGGTTGCCAAATACACTTTGGCAACAAAGAAGGCTCGGGATGGTTCCCGAGGGAATGTCGGAAGCGTGGTCCACGCCCGGACCATGTTCTGAAGCATTGGCAACAATGCTTCAGAAATGGGTGCAGGATGCACAGGGCACAGAAAATATCTGCGGGATTCTACCCGCAGAAGGATGGAAGCAGAAACGAGTTGGAAAGAGAAGACGCCAGAAAGGCATGGGCTGCGAGGACGCGGTCCAGGGAAGGAGGGGTCCAAAACTCCTCCGCAGACACGGAACCGGATGTCAGAAGCCTACACAGGCAGATCTGGGGAGTCCGAGAACAACTGGGCCAAGCCGAGGCCACAATTTCGGCAAATGACAAGACAATCGCGGAGCTAAGACAGCTGAACGATAATCAGCGGCACATGATTGAAACGGCGAACCTGACTCTGGAATCGGTGAGGGTCAGATGGAGGACGGCAGACGAAAAGTTCGCTAAGCTGAGAAGGACCATGCGCTCGGCAGGACGGGAACTATTAAAACTGGGAGAAAAGGCTTGATGGGACTGAGGCTTAGGAGGAGGAGAGCTAATATCACGAATATGGCTTAGCGAGGAAAGGGTTTTCACGTGACGCATAGTTGTGAGTCACAGGTACGTTATTGTTTCACACATATGACTCATTAGGGTCATATGATTTGTTATGTGTGGGATTTGTGATGCTTTTGCACATGGCTCAAGTATGAGTCATGGGACGTGCGCCTGACAAGTATGCCTTGCGAGTATGCCTTGCAGGTAAGCCTTGCACATATGATTTATGTTTTGCACATGACCTCATTATGAGGTCATGGGTTTCGCACGTATGACTCAGTCGAGCCATATGACTTGTTTATTGCGTTATGATTAATTTATGAGTTTTGTACATGACCTCGCTATAAGGTCATGGGTTTTGAGCATGTGATCACTTTGGTCACATGATTAGTTTGTTATGATTTGGTTTCGCACATGTGACTACTTTAAGTCACATGATTATGGGCGGGAAGAATACTATATAAGGAGGCCGATGCGGCCGAGGAAGATAGGTTCTTCACACTTTGTTCTAAGTACTTTTCCTACTTATTACTTTAACGAATATAAAACACGTTTACAATCTTTATCTTTATTGCAACCTTATCAGTACGCCAAGAAGTGCGCGTCATGAAGACAAGTTAGAGAACGCTTACGATAGGCGTTTCCGATAGAAGACAAAGGTCTTGTACTATCGGTAACGTAGGCAGAGACCTAGAGCTATCGTAGGACAAAGAAAGAAGGAGACAGAACCGATAAGTATCGTTCCCCGTCGCCAAGAACTAACTATACAGAGAGGGATCGTTACGTATGGACTATAACTGTTGTATACCTAGGTGAAAGTTTATAATATGGCCTGCCAATTGTCTTATTCAGATTCCATAGTATTGTGAACATTTAGAGTGAACATATGATGACTGGGTCAGGATCCTTTGGACTGATGAGTCAACATTCTCTACTACCTACTTTGGATACTATCTCTCGTTCATATGAAAGGCAAATGAAGAGTAGAATGCCAATTGCATTAATGAAACATTTGAATCTAGACATGAATCAGAAATAGTTTGGGGAGCCTTCTGCGAAATAATAAGGTTAAAGCTAGTTTTCATATCTAGTAAAGTTAAGGTAGAATTAGTACTCTATGTTTGGAAAATCATGTATTCTTATCTTGTTCCTTTTTGGCACCCTTGATTTGAAAGATATAGCCGAGTTACTGCTATAGAAGATGGTGCCTCGGGTTATATGGTTTTGCTGACTACTACAGAAACCTTAATAAAGTGGAAATGACCTGGTGGACAGATCAATCACTAGACCTCAATTTGATTGAGGTACTTTGGTTAGATCGGAGAATGAGTTGGCAGAAACTTGGGGCAGGATTGGGGATATGAATATTTTGAAAAGGGCTTTATATGCTGTTTGGCAGGCAATTTCAAATGAACCGATTGAAGGCCTCATTAGAACAATGCCGCAGCGCCTTCAAGTGGTCATAGATGCTGAAGGAGGAACTACCTAATCTTGATTTCTGTAACTTAGTTTGTATATAGACATTTTTTTTTTTATATTCCTCCATTTCTCTGCATTCTCATAATATTATGATATTACTTGTGTCATTACCAATCCTGGAAGAGACCCAACTTTTTGCTGACACCAAAAGCAATTCACTACCTATCACTTGAATTTCCTAACCTGGTTTAGCCTTCATACAAATGCCGCTTCTTATTTGGAAAAGAGACCCAACTTTTGTCAACCCCCCAGTACTCGAGTACACCATATCGTGGGTCCTGGGAAAACTCGGCCCGCCACTATACTTCTTAAGATAATCACTAGTTCTCTTAAGGCCTAATCCTGTGGCAAATGAAATTTTCTGGAGATGGTAGCTGCCATATGGGGGGGGGGTGGTGGGTCGAGTTTTACCTATAATTTACTCGAGTACGGTATCACACGTTAAATTTTGAATGCGATAGACGGTGACTGATTGTGGCAAACCAAATTTTTATGCGCTGTGTGGTGCGTGACAATTGAGATGGTCTAGTTCAAAGGGAGGACCTTTGAAGGATAAGGGCATTCGAGTACTCAAGCACTGCACAGTACAGTACCCTGTACAGTACCACCACCAAAATGTCTTTGAAGGAGTGACAAAGTTTTGCGGTGCTATTGTACCTTATGCCTCAAAGCTTTCTTCCCTAATACAGACAGGTGGAATGCGACCGGTGACGGTTGGTACGGTACTATATCACAGTCAATGTTTGTCGCGCAGGGGAGCTACATATGATATGAAAAAGGTCACGCCTCAGGCCTGTACTGTACATCGCACGGCCACACCTCGGCTCATCCAACCTACTAAAGCCACATGTACTCGTAGTTGTCCATAATATTATGGTCATTAAATTTTGGGGAAACGCATCCTTGACGTAACGTCTCGTCAGCTTCACCAGTCCCTGACCTTGAACCTCCTACGGTAGACCCTTTCAACCTCCTTTTCACAATTATCTTCACGAACTCTGCACCTGATTTTCTCTTACGACAAAGCAGAGCAAAACAGAAAGACAGATACGCTCTTCATTTGATGCTCCAGCAATGGCTTCACCAAAACCGTCTGCCTACCAAGCCGAAAAACTCGACGACGACGATGTCCATCAGCCTCCATCCCTATCACCGACCCCGCCAAGTCCTGGCCTGGTACTTTTACCGAGAGAAATTTTCATAGCGTCCATATATCCTTTAACCCTTATAGCTGGGTCAGCCGTCTCGGTGTTCTCGCCTTCGTCAGCATCGACAAACTTCCACTTCTCCCACAAACGCAACCCCCTCAACGTCTTCTTCGTCAAGTATGGATGGCTGTGGACTACTCTGGTCTTTCTAATACATACCAGCCGCCTTCGGTCTTCGCTAAGAGTAAAAGCGCTATTACGATATGCTTTTGCAACTATTTGGTGGATTTTAGTTACCCAGTGGTTTTTCGGGCCACCGATAATGGATCTACTGTTTTGGTTCACGGGGGGTGAATGTCAGCTGGTTGACACCGACCCCATGCGTACGAAGGAGGAGATGGGCCCTGTTCAGATGGTCTTCAGCAGCGCTGCCTGTAAGGTTGCGGGTGGGAAGTGGAGCGGTGGTCATGATCTTAGTGGTCATGCATTTCTGCTTACTCATGCTAGCTTGTTTTTGTGGAGTGAGTTGAGCTGCTCGGGAGTTGCTGGGTGGGAAAGCGCAGGGGTTTTGGCACTACTGGTAATGTGGTGGTGGATGCTGTTGATGACGGGCATATATTTCCACACATGGCTAGAGAAGGTTAGTTACCCTTTTATTACTGGCATTGGGAATGCCTTTACGTGGTGCTATAGGTGCTAATGTTATCTTGGTGATCAGATAACTGGCTGGATCGCCGCAATGTTATATGCGTGGGCACTGAGGTCGTACCCCACTGTCTGGAGCACTCTTGGAGTTCCGGGTGTCTAATTTTGTTTGCCTGCTGTGGTTAATGGTTTTGCTGTTGATGGTGGTTACGGAAGGGTAGACAAAGCACTTTTCAGTTATTAATGCGCCTTTTATTTGTTTGTTTTTTTCATTGTTTTTTTTCTTCTTCACTGGTGTATCTTTGTGTTTCTAATTATGTAGCCAAGTGCTATGTTTTTCCTCGGGTACCCTGCTCCTATACGGGTCAGGAGGGCCCGGACTGTACATGTAGATATCATAAGAATAAATATGCTAAGTCTCTAGAGTTTCTCTTTCCCGGCGACTAATCGTAGTCTTGTAAGTGCCGGATATCACTGAAGCCGTTTGGCGTCGGCTTCTGCATGGTATCTTACTCCTGTGAGGAGGAAGAATGGAGGAGGCTGCAAGTTCACTTACCACAATTCATTCCTTCTCACCCTCCAAGATATCCTTTAGAGGAATCTCCCCGCTGCCCCTCGGTAAAGGCTTTGGCTGGTTCTCGCCCTCCTTCCAGCCAATCTGTCTCCCAATCAACCCACCATCCTGCCAACGACTCACCCGTGAAGAAGGCCCAACTCACCATATAAATAACTCTAAAAGTAGCTGGCAGCCTCCCCTCCTCGCCACCGTATAACTCCCTATACACCCCCTCCGCAGCCATCAACACATCCCTCCCAATCGGCCCCACCTCTCTAGCTGAAACCGCGTTACCCTCTCCCATGGCATTCAGGTCGGCCATGAGCGCAAACACATCCGGGAACTCCACAACAACATCATCAACATCTATCGTCAGCAGCTTAAGCCCTGCCCTCTGCATCAAGCCACCAACATCGCGAACATCCGCCAGCGGCGAGACCCTCGGGGATACACCGCCCCGCCGCTCTAACTCCGCCAACTGCAGCGACGTCCGCAATTCAAACAGAGTGTCCCCTCCCAGAATCGCGGCAATAAACGGCGCATCAGGCTTTAGTATCCGATTAATACTGGAAAGCGTATATGGAAGGTCGTTTATCCAATGCATCGACAAGCTAGAAATCACCGCGTCGAAGGTATTCTCCGCGAACGGCGGTACCTCCTCGTCCGCTACCACCCGTTCTATCGGCAGATTATCATTGAATTCCAGCTCCGCGTCCCGGTACAGCAACTCACGGCTCATGTCCACGCACGTCAGTTTCTCCAGCCGACTGCTTATCCCCAGCGGGAGCTGCCGCGCGATGTGGCAGGCGCCCGCACCCAGGTCTAGTATGTGCGGGAGTGGTCGCTGGATGTCCTGGACGCGGTCGATCAGGCGAAGGGAGATCTCCGATTTTAGGTAGTCGGTTGCACGACTGTGCGCTGGGTTCTGGGTGGATCGGCTGCGCTGGAGACATTTTGTTCGGCGGTTGAAGACTTGGTAGGCTGGGTTTGGGGATGCGATTGCTGTGTCTAGGGTTCGGAGTGCCCCACTGGGGCGGGGGATGGGGAGGGGTGGCATCGTGTGTCGAGTATCATACTCGTAGAGAAAGTGAAGGGGTGAAGGATGGATCCTGCTCTCCTTTGGGGGGAAGTTACGTAATATGGATTGATGGTGTTGTACCGCACATCTCCTGGTTTGGTTGGTGGGTTGGGTTAGGGTTTGTGTCGGAGTGGGAATTTTGGTAAAGATGCAGGTTGCTGGCTACTCGTGAGTATGATGGTTGGATGCTGACCTGGGCGGATAATATAAATACATTCCCCAAGGATTCCAATAAATTATACTCGTGTCAAGGTTGTGACATGTCGTCACAACCCCCGCTACTCATTTTCTGGCAAACGGGGCACTCATACTGAGTGCCCAACAGTTGAATGTGAGTGGACAGTTCAATGTGAGTTTGTGGCTCAATGGTAACTTGTGGTTTGTGGTCGCGAACCTTCACTTGATACAACATCTAATAAACAGTCATCAACCAAGTACCCTCTGGAAGAAGTGAATACCCGAGATGCTGTAGCTAATGATGTACTAGGTACAAACTAGTGGGTGGAAAGTCTTGGCAACCCTTCCCGACACACTGAGAGGATAAGGATGGAGAACAAGCAGCAAAGAAAGGACAGAGAAAAAAAAAAACTTTAAAAGATATAGATTTTAAAATAGGAAAATAAGCAACCCTGTTACCACTTTGTATGACCTCTGCGTGCCTGTAGAACTTCCGTACTCCATTTGAGAATTGAGGTTATCCATCAATTAAGGACCATCTGTGGAATCTTGTCCCACTACTCCTGAGCTGCATGTATGAGTTTGGGTTCAGTTCAAGGATGATACTGCCTTTGTCAGAACTGTTTCCTAAGTCTTTGCTTAAGGGCATACCAGGAATTCTTGATAGGATTTAGGTTAGAAGAGGATAAGGGTCATGAGAAAATCAGTATTTAACTGTGACTGAGAAATGACTGTATTTTCTGTGCTCAATGGGGCCTGGCGCTATCCTGCATAAAGCATAGTCCCTTAGATAGACCTTCAAGCTTCTTCCAGTATGGAATAAGGTGTGGTTTCAGAATCTTATTATAGTATTGGATAACATTCAAGCCAATATGATTATTTTTCCTTTCATACTTATCTGACTCTTGGTGATGAAGAAAGATAAGTGGGGTATGGCTTCTATAAGTATAAGCAATCCAGTATCTTATACCAAAACCTCCAAACTAAAAGATTGAAATAAGGTAGTAGAGTCAAAGTGCAGTTCCTTGCTGGTATTGTATATATAGTAGTTCACACCTTAAGCTAACCTTAATTCGAACCTCATCACACCAGATAATATTCCTTCAGTTATCTTCCATCTACTTTTTCTTCTTTAAGTACCACCTCTTCCTTCTCTTCATAGCTTTGTTATAAAGCCAAAACTTCTTTCTTACTTGAAATACTTCAAACTTTAACTTCTTTAAAGTTCTCTTAAAAGTACTTTTTCCAGTATTTAAAGTTGCCTCTAGTGCAGGTTTGTAAACTGTAGCTACAGGATTTTTTAGGACTGCTTTTTCTAAATGCTGGAGTCTATAGGCATCTAATTTGCAAAGGTGGTCAGATCTTGGTAGGTCATCGTGGGTACCATACTTCAAAAAATGGCTGATGACATTTTAGATAGTACTTTTCTTCCCTCTTGTCTTCTCTACAATTTGCCTCTAAGACTTCTGTGCTATCAGGAGGAAGATTATATGGGATCTCTCTTCTAGATTTAGGTATTTTTGGAGGTATTATAATACTGGCATGGTGGGTTGTTGTTAGGCAGAGATGATCTGTAGAGATAGAGAATTATCTAGGCCAATTGAGATTCATTTTGAAAATGGAGATTTGTCTAAGAAGGCTCAAAGGGTTACTTGTTTCATTTATGACTACTAAGAGTAAAGTAAGGTAAAGTAGAATAGAATGGTAAGAATAATATTATATTGTTAAGATCACTTCTCCATTGCTTGATAATATCTAAAAGCTTGAAAGGTACTTTGATATTCAGATTTTACATCTGAGTGTTTGCAGACTACATCTATCTCTCATACAAATTATGTATCTCTTTAACTATAACTCACAACATTGAGTATTTTCCTGAAGTATGAATACTAGGAGACCCTGAAAACCATCACACCCTCCTTGGTAATAACTATTTTGCCAATTCGGAACTGTACTGTTTCTAATAGTAGTTATTAGATCTTCAGAGTTCCTAGACTTATGGCCTAGTTCTCAGGTCGAACTGTGTTGGCCGCATTTGTTGTATCTACTAATAAAATGTCATTCACGAGGTATACCTGCAGGAGTACTTATTGATGTAACCTTCCTAGGTCGCCAACTTTAAACTTCCCTAACTCTTGATCCAACAAACAGACCACCTCTGGATAACTTTCTACTAATCAGCAGGAAGCCATTCTACCAGATTGGTAGATAATTCCTAGGTCAGCAACTTCTTATTGTTCTATGTAATAGGGCTTTAGTTATTCTTCGGTATTGGAGATAATTCCAACAACTACAATGTATTCCTATACCTAGCTGTAATGCTCCACGAAGTCTATTGGCTTCTTTAGTAGTATTCCTCTGAGTTCTAAACTTCTCTAATTATTGTAGAGTTGATGAGAATGTGTTGGCTTTTCATAGAGATCCTCTAATATTCAATATCATATCTTTGTATGAAAATGTCCTATTACTTATAGCTCATGCCAAAGAAGTTCGATCCTTGAAGTCTAGTAACGTCCTGAGTAGTTGATGAATTTACTCCGTTCCACTTCCTAAACCTAGCCGAAGGTTCTCTCTCATATCCTACAGACAGGATCAGGTCAGATAGACAGTAGCAACATATACAGTGTTATTCTGATACCTTTAATTCTGTAGTATTATAGTCACAGGATGCAACTAAGATTATAGATATGTATGATGATGAGCAGACCCTGTGAGGGAGTTGGAGGTGGGTATTGGAGACCAGAGATTTCGATCCTGAGTGGAGTTATCCTACATAGAGTTGTTCATAGGTATTGGATCCTGGTACTCCTAACAGTTGTGTCATGCAGCATTTTTGTACTCTACATTGTCTGTAAAAACCTTTTTACTAGAAGTGCCAAGATTTTCCACCTACTAGTTTGAACATATTAATACATGTCATAGTATATATAACTTACTTATTATAGTGCTTGGACTGTAGCAGACTGTATTTGACTAACTCTGTTGTAAGCCATGATTCAATTTTTCTATACTGAGTAACAGGTTCACATTGAACTGTCCACTTATGCTGAACTATCAGGCACTCAGTATAAGTGCCTCTGTTTGCAAGAAAATGAGCAGTAGGGGGTTGTAATAATATGTCATAATCTTGGCACGATTATATATGATATTTGAGTATTCCACAGCACCAATAACCGTGTTGGATATCATATATCTGTAGTTATTATGACGGTGGAATACTGGTATCAACATATAGGCAATAAACTTGATTAATACCTATTTAGATATGACCTAGTGACACAATACCAACCCCGAAAATCTCAGTAATCCCAATGGTGGTGCCTTGGCTCTGTAGTGGTCGCTACACTCAACTATAAAACTAGTATCATACAGTACACAGTACTGAGATCATGCAAGGCATAGTGTAGATATCTTCATACTCGAGTACAAGACAGAGATTATTTTGAGGGTTAACCTGAAGAAAGCTTTAGTCCTAGCACTTGTACTAGGAGTAAGGTATTCAGAGTTATCAACCTTAAATTTACATTGAAAATAGTGTTCAAAATCGGAGTACGCTAGTAGGAGTGGTTGGTTATAAGGGTCTAGTCTACTTTCAAAGATGAGGTTGAAGGTTCACGTTTTGAACAGGAGCCTAGAGGTCTGTTTTCAACCTTCAGTCTCCATTGTCATCTTCTTCTCCCTAACCTTATGCTATCTGATAGGTTGACCAAGCTATCTCTTCTGTAGTGCTTGGACTAATTTTTTTCCCTTTTTCCTTTTCTCCTTTCTCTTCTCGTCCCATTCCTTTTCTTTAAATCCATTCAACTCAAAGTCTTTGCCAAACTGATTTTTCCTTTTTACTATTTCCTTGTTGTCATTTCTTTAGGATTTACTAATACTCACAGAATGGGGTCAAATAGTGGAAACTGGTCTAAATCCGAAATTGAACAAATTTTCCTTTGGCTTGAAGATCCTATCAAGCTGTACAAAACTCAGAAAGGTTCAGGGAAAACAAAAAAGCATTTAATAAGTACAATCGCATCAACAATTCTCTCTTATTTTGAGGTACAAGTTAGATATAAATACAACAACTTTACGAAGTCGTACCATGAAGCCCTTAAGCTTACTGACCAATCAAGATGGTGCTTTGGAGAAGAAGATCTTGTCAATAGAGATTCATTATCCTTACAGGGTAAGAAAGGAATTAAACTGAGGTTATGGAAACTGACAATTGAGACCTATAGAAAAACTAGAAAAGAAGTGAACGTTTTTTGCCCCGCTAGATGAATATGGGGCAATCAGCTGAACTTTCATCCACCAAGTCTCTTTTCTTCTGGTTCTTTTAGCTGAGAGACTACAACTGCCACTGATATCCTGATCATTACACTACAGTCTGCTCAGAATAGTATTGAAATTGACGATGATGATGATATCAATAAGAATACTACCTCTGAGATTGAGTTCTAGTCAGAGATTGCCTATACAAGATCGGTATATATTATTCATGAAAGATAAGATTTACTTCTCATTTTCCTTAATATTGGTTTTTATATTATGTTATTTTGAATTTTTTTCTTCTATTAGCTATGTTTACTGTCAAGTTCTTGGTTTTATTAATTTGTTTCATTTTTTTTTTTAATTACAATTGACTTGGGATTTTCTTGCAATCTAGTTTTACATCTCAATCAAAACTTATTTCACAAAATAAAAAGTGAAAATGCCAATACTAAACTAGTATGGGTAGTTTTAATATAGAATCTACAAGAAGCAAGTCTTCAACAATTGCTATTGGTGAGGTAAGAACAATGTACTCAAGTGCGAGC